CAACACAACCTGCAGCGAATGTGCATCATCCTTTGTTTCTGTGGGCTGGCTGTTTCTTTTTCTATCAAATAAGTCCAATTTGCAATATTTAACCCTTTTGTTGTGTTTTGAAGTCAGTTCTGTTTTGCTTTAATAATATGCTCTTGATTTCTTCATCACTTATTTTATTCTATTCATATATATTTTTAAAAAACACAATTTTTCTCTTGATTCTTCTATAATTTTCTGCTGTTAGTATTTTTTCTTTTGTACATTTTTCTTGTTTCTTTTCTTGATCTTTAAGCACAGAGAAAGCCATTCAGTCCTTTATATCTGTGCTGATTCTTTGAAAGAGCAATGCATTCAATCCCGTTTACCTGACTTATAATTATTAATAATAATTTCTTGCATTTGATATAGCTCCTTACCACATCGCTGAGATGTCTCAAAGCACTTCACAGGATTTTACTCTGAAATGTATTGACTGTATTTATGGGCAAACTGAACTCACAACCTTTGACTCAGAGGCTAGAGTGCTACTAAGTGAGCCAGACTGATACCTGTGTTACTTCTTGTGTTCAGAGATTTTCCTCTTCGTGTAATGACTGTGTATTTGTAGGTGAATATGACAGTCAGTTTGCACCCAGCAACATCCCACACATATGAAGTAATGACCAATTCATCTGGAGGAGTGTTGACTAGGACATTCTAAGGAATACCATTCTCTTTTCGAATAGTACCATGGGATCTTTAAAGCCCACCTGAACAGACAGATAGGACCTTGGTTTAACATCTCATCCAAAGTACGGCACCTCCAACAATGTATTGCACTGGAGTCTAAGCCTACACCAGTGATGGCCAACCTGTGGAACAACACCAACAAGATTACATTTGTATATGCCGGAATTGGCCTGTAGGGCCATCAGGAAATAGCCCACGAACATTCGCACAAGTCTAGTTAAATATGTTTGATCTGTAATGTGTTTTCAGTTTTTTCTAGACTGAATATTTCTTGATTTATGGCATGAATTAAGAAATATTTAATCAATAAAATGTATTTTGTTGGCCGACCATAAAGGTTGGTCACTGGCCTAGACTATGATCTTAAATTCCTGAAGTGGGGACAGAACCCACAATCTCCTGACTCAGAGGCAAGAGTGCTACAAAGTAAGCCAGGCTGACTTAGACACCTGTTTTATTTCTTATATTCTTGTTTTTCTTTAATTCTTTCCAATCTGTTTTCCTATTTCCCATTGTTGAAATTCCTTGACGTTTCATTCTTTTCCAGTTATATTTCAGGTTTTCCATTTCTTCTCTCATCGTTTGTTTCTTCTAATCCTATTTGTTTCCTTTTTTTGTTCTGCATTGGGTTTGACAAGGAGAATTGTATCTGTAGTATTTGTGTGTAACTTACTATCAAAATATCGAGTCAAGGCTAAAACTTCACAATAACTAACCTCTTTGACCTGCGGTAATAAATTTAAGAACTAAAGCTAGAATTTTGTTTAAAAGTAAATTGTAATTCCAGCCCACATATATGTGTTGGTTTATTAAACTGGTCTAGGCTGGTGATACAGTACACCCCATCAGGGTGATCACATTACAACACAAGTTTCAAAATGCAATATTTATAATTTGATTTGAGTAATTATAAACAGACGAAAATAAGTCCACTCGCAAAGGAAATGCACTTTCTTTGGTACAACAATGGTCAAGAAGTACCAGAGATGTAGTCTGTTGAGGTACGATTATTTTCTACTACGTTATCAGTAAAGTCACGCAATCTGCTGACCAGAAAACAAATATCAAGGTCTCAGGTCGTCCAATATTCCAGCAAACATCGGTCTGCTTTATATTCCCCACCCAATCTGTCTCACCATCGGTAGGCAAAATTTCAGCTGTCCTGCCCATGCTCTCTGGATCTCATCGTGAAGTTCCTTCCATCTTGTCCCCTTGCTCCCCACGTTCAAAACCATGTCTTAAGACCTCTTTTTTCAACCACTTGCTCGGCCACCTTTTCTTTGCCCCTCAGTTCTTATCCCACTCCCCTCCCCACCACCCCCACCTGTGCTCTCATTTAGCTGTGTGAAGCACTTTATGATTCTTGGCATGAAAGGTGCAATGAATATAAATTGAAATTATATTCTCAAACACCAATTGTACAGGATGATAGCTGAGTAAAAATATCCATCAAAGCAAGAGATTTTACTTGTTCTGTATCAAATCAAGAGACAATATCTTAGCTTCACTGTCTAAGTCAGAGTGTATCTGTGATTGGAGTTTAATATTCTAATAGGTTCATAGATTCAAATTATGTTGAATCAAAAAGAAAATGGTGGACTCGTGCATTAAGGTATAATACAATAGTTGAAAATAAATAATTGATCCTTTGAACCAAATGTGAGAGAAGTGGGGGCATGCAACATTCAGAGTATCTGAGAAGGCAAAAATGATTCACTTAAATGTTCCCCAAAAGGTAATGTTTGAAGAGAGAAAAAAAATCAGTAAACCCAAAAAGTGAGAAAAAGGAGGCAGATAAGAAACAAGAACAACACCTTGCTATTGTTGGATGGGGGAAAGGAAAGGAAATAGATATTACAGTTTAACATTCCCTTTCAGAGTGCATGAAGTCATGAATGGCCCACTGCTTTCTATTGAAGTGCTCAGGAAGCTACCCTGCATGAAGAGTGCAATATAAATCCAAGTTGTTCTTATAAATCTTCAAAATGTCTTACCTACAGTCATGGAAATACTGTATATAGTGCTGTTTTCAGGACAATGACATTTCCTTTTACTTAGAAATGTTAAAAACGATCCACTTTAGGATCTGAACTGTCTTCTAAAAGGCAATATCAGTATATATAGATATCAGTTCAAAAAGATTTTTCCTATTAGAGTTAATATAAATTGGACAATGTGAATATATTTTAAAAATTAAACTTCTCTCCCTCTCTCCTCATTGACTTCTTTGTATGGTAGATTTGGAACCTTGGCAGAAGTGAGTCTGATCGTCTCATTCAAGTCTGAATAGAAGACAATTTGCATATGAGGTTTCTTGAGGAAATAGCCAACATATTTTAAGAAAATTAAACTGTCTCCCTCCACCCCCATTCTTAGCTTTCCTTTCTGGAGGTCACTTAGACATAAATGAGAGGTATTGTAACACTGTAATCTCATACAAGTTTACATGTACACGGCAGAAAAGTTTACGTTACGAAGTTCAGCTTACATTTATATTTTCAAATAGCTTTCCTGACAGATCCTTTCACTTCCGGAAGAAGATCCCAGTGGGCACGTCAATGTGATACATTTTGTTCACATTTTTATGCGATTTGTTTCCCGCTCTGTGATACTATACTCTGGTTTTGTCTGGAGCTATCAGATGCAATTATGCCACTTGGAGGTTGATGCCTCTGACAACCGGCCTCACAAAGAAACAGAACTCAATACTGTTCTCGACTTGATTGTATGATCCATGATTTAATCTCATTTTTATGGAAGTTGATTAAAAGAGTTTTATTTTGTCACCTATCTGTGAACACTGAAGTCACTTCAACAATTTTTAAAACCAAGGTCTTATATATATATATATATATATATATATATATACACACACACCAACACAGGAGGAGGGTTGCATTTTTGGGGGTGCCACTCTTCAGCATTAAACTGAGGTCCCATCTGCCTATTGAGGTGGAAGTTAAAGATCTCATGGCACTGTTTGAAAAGAGACAGGAGTTTCTTTCAGTGTCTGGGTCAACAATCCCTCAGATAAAATTGGTTATTCACTTCATGGATTCATTTGGTATATTACTTTGTGCAAATTGTCTGTCTGCCTGTCATGTTAGCCTACAAAATACACAGTTACTACACTTTACAATCATTTCCCAGAGTTTACTTAGACTTTTGCAATCAATTAATGTGCTTTGGGATGCCCTCCCGAATTGAAACGTGCTATATACTTGTAAATTGTATTGTATAAATCGTGTGCAACCCTTTGAGACATTTTGACAATGTAATAAGGTGCCATATCAAATACAAGAATTATTATTATTATAATCTGCAAATTATAATTCAGTTCATATAATATGCCTCTAAACATTGACTTTGGACCTCAATAAATGAACTCTTAGTGCTACATGGATGAGCTCTCTCAGTCAGGTACTGTTGCACTATTAATGGACCTGTCCAGTGGTAACAGCTCTCTATCTAATACTAGAAAATCAATTTAAATGGATCTGAGTCTGCAGCAGTGCAGAACATCAAGCAACACATTACAGTGTGCAAACTCTCCATCGCTGTTCTTGTAATTATGTTATTAATTTGCCACTTCACACAGCCAGTGGGCAATGTTAAGACATTTATATTTACACCCAAAATAACTGGATACTTTAAATTAAAAAAACTGCTGAATCACATGCCTTTTTACTATATAATCTAATGTTTTTAACATTAATTCTCAAATGTTAACAGCTGTCAACCTTGTCCTGACAGCAACACAAGCAAATATTGTTTCATGAAAAAAACTTTTTAAGTAATCTTTAAAAATGTGGCTGATATATGCACACTGGGAGAAGATCTCTGCATCTTATGTTTGCAGCACAAACCGGAAAGTCATTTCATAAAATAAGTTTGTGCTTTCACTATGGAGAACTTGAGAAAGCAGAAATAAGTTTGGTTTGGGCCTGGGATTTAAAATAAATTGAGTGCATGTGTAAAACAGGTCGGTATCCCTTTTCTTTAATCTAATCTGTGGTGTTACATAAAACAGGATAAATTGAAGAAATTCTTTCAATGGCAGACATAACTGCTTTATTAAATTACTGATGGGTGGTGATAGGGGAATCTGGAGGACTTTAACTTTCCCAGAGTTTACTTAGACCTTTGCAATTTTTTACTTGCCGAAACCCTTCAAGGGAATGTAAAAACACACATTTCCCAGGACAGAATTCCACTCCACTAATTGCTGAATTGCTACGTTAGCTCACTTTCACTTTTTGTTGTTGTCATCCGTTCCCCAGGAAAAACCTTACCAATGTTCAGAGTGCAACAAGGCTTTTAGTCAAAAGCGAGGCCTAGATGAACACATGAGGACTCACACAGGAGAAAAACCATTCCAATGTGATGTAAGTAACTTTATTTCAAACTTTATTTCTTTGGCTATCTCTTTTATTTGCCACATTGTTGGAGAATATAAATTTGTTCCATTTTGCCTACAAGGTAACAAGCAGTTAACAGTTCCTAGCATTGTCTTGTACAATGGGATTGAGAAACTGATCTAAAAAAAAACCTTTACAGGAAAATTGTTCATTGCCATTTAATTTCCTCCCCACCATGCTTTTTCAGATTTCTCCCCATCTTTCCTGAAAGTATTGGCTCATGCTGGGCTGCGGTCCCACAGATGACTCTAACCTCTGTAGTTGTGTAGACAGCATTGACTTAACGAATTAGGACACCAAACCTAAGGCAGCTCCTGTCTTGATTCATCATCCACATGCACGTGCTTTCTCACAGTAGTGACTGAATGCTATTAGGAACCTTTCTAGTCTGAAGAGGCAGAGTCCTGTCTGATCAATTCTAGTCCTGTCTGATCAATGGGGAGGCTTTTCATTTCTCCAACTGATGGCCTAGCTGAGTTCATTTTGTTAACCCAGACGAAAGAGTGAACTTGGAGACATTCTTGATCAAATGGCTCAGGACCCCAACACATGGTGCATTGAACCTTTGGGAAATCTACACTTTTATTTCTTCTACTTCACATACCTTCGCATTCTCTCAGCAGGATTGCTGAATTAGTGCCAGTTAAAACTAGATTGACGGTCCGATATAGATTATGGGTTGAAAGAAAGAAACTCAATTTCATAGAAACATAGGTACAGGGCCACAAAAGAACAGTTGTAGTCTATCTAACATCCTAAAATGTATAAGCCTCCCCCAACCCACAAATCCTGCACCACTCAATCTCTCATACTCTGATTGAATTCTTTGCAAATTCCCTTTTGAATTTTCTGATATCATCTGCCTCCCTGCTGATAGTTTCACATATTCAGCACACTCTATGTAAATTAATTAAATGTCTGTTCACCTCCCTTCATCTGAGCCTCCATCAATTGAAACTATCAAATGCACATCATTTTGAAATCTGATCCTTTGCTAAGTCCAGTAACTTCTCTCTCACAGTTCTTTATGTCTGATAACTAACTGGATCTTTAGCTTTCCCACACCATTCCAAAGAGGGAGGGAGGTGACCTCCCAGGCATTGTCAGAGTTGAAAGGATGAAGCCACGCTTACCATCCAGTTCCCACTGATTGATTTATATTTTGTGAAAATCTTTTCCAGTGGTGGGAAAACAGCAACTCCCTTTCATTTTCTCCCAACACAGACTTGTGGAGATTAACTTCAGTTAACTATCACTGGTTGTCTGATGGGTTGCAAGTTTCCTAAATTATGGAGTTAGAAAGTTACACGCCTGAAACATTTTGGTTTTCAGAAGTGTTTGACCTCAGCCCGCATATGATATGGCTCGTTAGCTATGGTGAGAAACCAACTGGTGTGTCTGCAATGCTTTCATAATGTGATCATTTAACCAGTTGTGGTCAACTGTATATTGGGGGTGCAAATGTTCACATGTTCTATCAGAATACTTTATTTACAATTGCCTTTGTTTTATGTATTGAAGGAAATACTAAAGTTGACAGCACACCCTACTGTAGAATACATGTATTCATATTCACATACTCTGTAGTATCTGCAGAATGTATAAATGTATGTATGGGTTTGTGCGGAGAGTTCTTCATTCCAGCTGCACTTTCAGGAGGACCTGTTGAATAGGGGTGATCACAAGGTGGATGAAAAGTGCTGTCACACCTACTGGTTGGTCCAGATCTCAGCAGTATGTTCCCTCTCTTAGAGTTTAGAGCCATGAAAAAGAAATAGCTTATGGGAAGAGATTAAGGTGATTGTCTGATGTATAGAATCCATTTGAGCAAATGTTGTCAGCATTTTATATTGTTTTAATCCATTGTTTCCTTGAGTTTCCCTCATTTGACTTCTCGCCAGATGATTACTGTCTACACATCCCTGTGCTCCAGCAGACTGGAAGGCAGGCAAATAAGCATTCACTGCAGAGAGTTACATAGAGTAATATGGCATCAAAACAGATCATTTGGCCCAACTAGTCCATCCTGGCGTTTACACCCTACTCAAGCCCCACCCCTCCTATTTCCCTCTAATCCCTTCTCCTTCAGTATGCATTTCCTTCTCCAACATTACCATTAATTGTAATGGATCCAGAATGCAACCCACATGAAGGGCGCAATATTCGTGCAATCTGTTGTTAATACCATCACATTCATATCAGGCACACTAACATCTTAGTGTATTGGCAAACCAGAAGCATGGAACCAATTTTAGTTTGAACCAAGATGAGGGTTGAAATGAAATGGGCCACTGATCAATAACCAAGAGAACTTTGAAGCCAAGCTCCTGTTTAGTGGAGTTGAGCTGACCTTGAACTTGTTCTGTTTCCATGAGTTGAGTCACGGTGGGAAAATTTGGACAGACAGGATGCGTAACTTACTATATTTAGGTTATTAATCAAGGCCTTTGTCTAAACCACTTTATTGAAATGATGGATTACGCATATGGTTGGAGCTGAATAATATATATATAAAATTGACTTCAATTATACTGCAGTGTTCTTTTGCAGTTAAGTGTATGACCTACCAGCTCCAGCCATGGATTTGTTTGCCGGTCTATTATATGGGCCATGACATGACGTTTCTCTTTGACGTCTGTTATATGTATTTTTCAGCGCCTTAGGACATCCTCCCAATGTGAAAGGTGCTATGCAAATGTAATCTTATTGTCATTGTTGTCTCAAAGCACTTCACAGAATATACTGTAAAGGAATATTATTATCAAATAGGTAAATGCAACATTTAATAGGTATTAACCAAATCCAGTGAAGAGCAATGATGTAGCCAGGCCATTTGAATCCTGGAGTAAATTTGAACAAGGAGAGAATCTGTATATTTTGTGGGGAAAATGTGATATAGTTTGCACGTGTCTGAAACCATATTTGGAATGTTGTCATTGTTTGAGTTTTGCAAAATCAATCTAACAAACTCTTAGCAAATGGCTCTTGCAGCAAATACCTTTTGATCCCAATTTTAGGACAGAACTTCACTGTGACATTTCTATGTAACAGGTCTTTTTTCTTTCATCTGTCCATAAAACATAATTTCAAAATAATTTAGGTTTTCTCAAGTGCTTTTTGCCAAATGCTAACCACAAAGTAAACTTTCACTCAATAGTAGGGATTTCCTCCCTTCTTCATTCTGTCACCTTTGTGCAAATGTTTCAGCAGCAACTACCTGTATTCATACATGAAAACCTTACATGAAAACTAAAACATCTCAAAATGTTTTACAAGCTAAAATGGATTTGATTGTTGTTACACATGTTGTAGGCATTCACATACAAAAATCACAGTCACTACACTTTACTGTATATCCTGTGAAGCTGTTTGAGACATTCCCCTGAAATAAATGGAGGCATATCAAATGTAAGGATTATTATTATCAAATAGGTAAATGCAACATTTAATAGGTATTAACCAAATCCAGTGAAGAGCAATGATGTAGCCAGGCCATTTGAATCCTGGAGTAAATTTGAACAAGGAGGGAATCTGAGGATAACAGGTAGTAAAGGTTTTCAACAGCAGTAGGTTGGGAGGGAGGAGGGGGGATATTTCGGTCTCCATCCCATCATACCCATCTTAATCACAAGGCATTTGGAACCCAAAGTAACAACACAATCAAAACAAGGAAAACAATCTAGAAACAAATAATAAAGCTTGTATTTTATACAGAGTGTTGTCACAAAGGCAAACACGGCAATTGATCTGTCTCAGCAACGACCCACTAACAACGAGTCAAATTAATTAGAATTTTCTTGGGTGAATTCAGTACATTTTAATGTACACAGATAATTCAAAAAAGGAAGAGGGAGAAAGCTTCCCATTTCACTTCTAAGTGTAATATTACAACATCAATTATTAATGCTGCACTTGCCGTATAATGTCCTTCCATTGTACGAAATAGTGAGGTCTAAAGACTTCATGTCTATTGATTTCTTTTGTCTCTTCCTTATTTCAGGTCTGTGACTTATCCTTCAGCCTGAAGAAAATGCTGATTAGGCACAAGCTGACACACAACCCTAATCGGCCGATGGCAGAATGCCAGCTCTGCCACAAGAAGTTTACAAGAAATGACTACCTCAAGGTTCACATGGAAAATGTGCATGGAGAATCAGACAGCTAAATCTCTGATTTTTCATTGCTTTGGAGCCGTTCAAAATTCCTGGCGTTGGACGATTTATTGCTCGCACTGTGGCTGACTTCTGCTGTCAGCATGACTTGAATGCTTTGCCTTCTCGAAATGTCTGTTACAAGGGCGTGATGAGTGTTCTTCAACAGTTAATAGGTGTTGTTTTGCTGAACATGACAGCCTGCTGAGAAGGGAGAATATAGGATCTGACAGTCCTGTCCTTGTTAATTGTGCAGAAAATGTTGGTGTGAGTAAATGGGTGGAATGTTGGGAGATCATAGCAATGGACAGAATCTGCTTATTGCCATTCTCACCATTGCTGCCTTGAGAAAACTGTCTGAAATGGGAAGGGAAAGAAAAGGCTAATTCAGCTTCTTAAGACCATATTAAAGGACATTAAAGTGGAAATTTTGCACAGTTACACAGCTAGAAAAGGTACATCAAAAGGTATTCTACTCCAGCTGAGCCTTAGCATCAGTGAGCTTAATGAAAGGGAACAATTGGAAGTATCCCCACAGTTTTGAGAGGTCAATAGCCCAAGCAAGGGTCGATCAGCTTTGATAGGGATATTGCAATGGAGAAGAGGGAAGGGGATATTGCAATGGAGGGCATAGGAAGCACATTATTTGAGCCAATTACTAGATCCAAGAACAGGTCTATATAATAGTATCTTAACCTGACCGTAGACAAAGGCCTTGGATGCTGTGCTCTCAGAGGCACTGACTATTATCACTGGTTAAGGAGTTGTGTCATCCAGTTGTACCTGTATTACTCCAAGCATGCCATTCACAGGAGACAATCATCTTCAGGCACCTCATGATCTGAGAGAGTATAGAACAATAGGTGCTGCAGATGTGTCATTAATGGATAATATTTTTATTAATGTTTAAGAAATCACAGGATAAAATTTGCAGGATTCCTAAACACAATCCTTAAGTAAAGAAAGGAATAACTCATTTAGGAATCCCAGAAACTTTACTCCCACATTTCTCATATCCAATTTGGGAATATCAAGCCCTAATGTGGTAAAGTGTTTCATGGGAAAAAAATATCAACTGTCTTTGCTTCCATGTTTCGCACACAAAGAAAGGTCAGGTCCGCAGGATTTAAAATTCCACACTTCATAGCAAGGAGTTTAGATTACATCAGGTTGGCACACATAGGGTTGTTACTGCAACATTCAAAAACGTACACATTTTAGACTTTGTGGACATGTGAGAAGTGTGACGTGTGAAAATTGAATATCATTATTATCTCAGCCAATATCTTGCTGTAGTGAGCAGCTCTCCCTCTCACCACTTTCAGCCCAATGCTTAGCCCCCAAGCTGGCCTGTTGCCATTGTTAGACTTTATGTCTATGGTATCAGTGTTGGTTCCTGGAAAATTTGTTTAACTCAAAGTTCCAAAGATGATTTTCACATGTCACATTTTTCACCCACTCTCTTATTTTCAAACACTTTATACAGTACCAGATATGTTGTACAATCTATTTTAACCATGCGACTGCCAGTAGAGTTCTAAACACATTTTATGATACAGAAAAATCCCCTATTACAATAATAGTTTAGATCTTAAGAGAACTTTTTTACTTTATTATGAATATCATACTGTGTTAGTAAATGTACACTTTCAAACAATTTTATATAAAAATAAAAGTTTCGTAATCTTATGATAATATTTTTACTATTCTCCTACTTTTCTACATTTACTATTTTTATCATAATTGTGCATTATATATTTGTATCTATATAAGAGCCAACTTTGCAGGTATGAGAGAGGATTTAGCTAAAATACACTGGGGAATTAGATCAAAGGATATGATAGTAGACCAGCAATGGTAAACCTTTAAAGATATAGTACATAATTCCCAGTGATCACATATTCCTTGAGGAATAAAAATACCACGGGAAAAATTGTTCAACCATGGTTAACTAGAGCAGTTAGGGAAAGTATAAAATTAAAGGAAGAGACCTATAATACTGCCAAAAAGAGCAGTAAACCCAAGGATTGGGCGGGCTTCAGAGACCAACAAAGAAAGATAAAGAAACTGATTAGGAGGGAGAAAATGCATTATGAGGGCAAACTAGCTAGGAACATAAAGACAGACTGCAAAAGGTTTTTACAAATACATAAAGAGGAAGAGACTATCAAAGTGAATGTGGGTCCAATACAGGCAGAGGCAGGAGGAATTATAATGGGGGATAGAGATATGGCAGAGTCATTAAACAAATACTTTGCTTCTGTTTTCACGTTAGAAGACACTGAAAACTTACCAAAAATAGAGGGGATCCAAGAAGCTAATGTTAGTGAGCAACTTAGGGAAATTAACATCAGTAAAGAATTAGTACTTGGGAAACTGTTGGGATTGAAAAATGACAAATCCCCTGGACGGGGAGCGGCGCCAGGACAGCGCGGGGAGGAGCCTGGGCCTACCTCTCAGGTACTTAAACTCGACGCTGCAGGGAGTGCAGCACAGGGGGGGGCGGGGTGTGGGGCTGAGGATGGAACGGGTGGGGGCAGAGTGGGGGAACCGCTGACGTCATAGTTGTAGTTTTCAGGAGTGTGCGCGCGCAACAACAGCAAAAAAAATCCTCTGCGCCCCCCCACCCCCAGGGCTCACATCAGACCCCACCATAGTCCTGTTGGGTTGGCTGCCCCATCCTATGGGATAATGTTTCCATCCACCTGACCGCTCGCTCCCGGTCCCCGTGTGCGCACTATGGCTGCCGCTATGACACGAGCCCCCTCACCCCCTCCCTCCCTCGTCCCTCCTCTCTACCCCCAAACCCTCCCCCCTTTGCATCTCTCCCGCTCTGTCCTCCTCTCTCTCCGTCCCTCTCGCCTTCTATCCCCACTTGACCCTCCCACAACCTCCCTCTGCTCCAGCCTGGGAATCCTCCGCCAGACTCACTCGGCGTTGGCTGTCCAGCAGCAGCCACATCGACTGCCCCATTCCCCACCACACTCGCCAGCCACCCAGGACACAGATCCGGAGAGCCAACCTCTTCTCCCTTATCCCCATTTCCCCCACTCCTGCCACACAACCTGGACCCCCCTCCCCTCCCACACACCCTTCTGTCAACCGCTCCCTCCACATCGGACTGCAAAATGTCAGCTCCCTCTGTAACAAGGCCCTGGTCATCAACGATCTCATCCTTGATGAGAATGTTGATATCATGGCCTTAACGGAAACTTGGCTCACCCCAGGCGACACCTTCCCCCTCACGGAGGCCACACCACCCGGCTACACCTCTCACCACATCCCTCGCCCCAACCGCCGTGGCGGTGGTGTTGCCCTTATCTCAAGGACACCACTTGCCCTATCCCCCTACTCCTCTGGCTCTTTCCCCTCTTTTGAGCACCTCACCCTCTCCCACCCCTCCTTCCTCTCACTTAAAATCCTCCTCCTCTACCGGCCCCCTAAAACCTCTCCCACCTTTATCTCTGATATTTCGACACTTCTTACATCTCTCTGCCTCTGCTCTGATCGCCTCATCATCCTGGGCGACTTTAACCTGCACTTCACCCCCTCCTGCTCAATCTCCTCAGATTTCTCTTCCCTGCTCTCCTCACTCAACCTCTCCCTCCACATCAACTCTCCCACTCACAGTCACAGCCACCCACTCGACTTGGTGATCACCCAGTGTCACTCAGTGTCTCGGATGTCACTATCACCGACAAGACCGTCTCCGACCACCACTTCATCTCCTTCAGCACCTCCCTCACACCCTCCCCACCTCCACCAGACCCACCACCATCTTCTACCGCCCCTGGAAGAAGTTAACCCCACAATCCCTAACCGCTGCCTTGGAGTCCTCTGAACTCCTCTCTCTCTGGCCTTCAACCCTCACTGACCCCTCTTCTGCTCTCACCCTCCTCCACAACACCCTCTCCTCCACACTTGACACTTGACACCCCAGGCTACTGTTCTCTACCACATCCCGACTCCTCCGTCCCCCACGCCACCCCGCGCAGGTCATCTCCTCCAACCTTCACTGCGAGGAGATGCTGGATTTCCTTGAATCCAAAATCAAGGAAATTCGCTCCGCGGTCACTTCCCCTCCAACATCCACCCACCCCCCACCGCTTCCCTCGCACACTCCGACTCCTACCCATCCTCCCCTACACACTTTCGTACCTGTTTCTCCACCCTCTGTCACCAAACTCATCCTATCCCTGAAACCCACCACCTGCTCCCTTGACCCCATCCCCACTCCACTCCTTATCTCCCAGCTCCACCTCCTTGCCCCACATATCACAGACATCGTCAACCTATCCCTCTCCTCTGGCTCTGTTCCCATTCCCTTAAAAACTGCCACCATCTCGCTATCAAGCTATTGGCCCATCTCCAACCTCCTCTTCCTGTCCAAGGTCCTGGAATGAGTTGTTGCCTCCCAGCTGCGCTCTTTCCTCTCCAACCATTCATTATTCGAAACCCTTCAGTCGGGTTTCCGTGCTGCCCATAGCACAGAAACTGCCCTGGTCAAGGTCACCAATGACATCCTGACCATCTGTGACAAGGGCTCATCCTCCTCGACCTATCGGCTGCATTCGATATGGTCGACCATGCTATCCTCCTCCACCGCTTGTCCTCCCACCTAAACCTTCAAGGCCCTGTCCTTGAGTGGTTTAGGTCGTACCTCTCCCACCGTCCTAACTTTGTCTCCACGAATGGTTTTTCCTCCGGCCCCCACACTGTCTCGTTTGGTGTCACTCAGGGCTCTGTCCTCGGTCCCCTCCTCTTCACCCTCTATATGCTCCCCCTTGGTGACATCATCCGCAGACATGGGGTTAACTTCCACATGTATGCGGATGACACCCAACTCTACCTTTCCTCCTCTACCCTCAACTCCACGACCACCGATGTCCTGACAGCCTGCCTGTCCGACATCGAGTCCTGGACGAGAGATAACTTTCTTCAGCTCAACGTGCGTAAAACTGAGGCCCTCCTGATTGGCTCACGTCAGCGCCTCCACACCTCAGGCGCTGACAGCATCAGCATCCAAGGCTGCACTCTCCACCTCTCATAGCCAGTCAGGAACCTCGGGGTTCTGTTCGACCCTAAGCTGTCCTTTCTCCCTCATATCCGCGCCATAACTCCATAACGCCATCACCTCCGGAATGTTGCAAGACTAAGGCACTACCTCACCCCTCACGCTGCTGAAACTCTGGTCCACGCCTTTATCACCTCAAGGCTGGACTATGGGAACTCTCTCCTCGCCGGCCTTCCCGGCACCTCCCTCCACAAGCTGCAGGTCATTCAGAACTCTGCAGCTCATGTACTGTCCCGCACCAGGCTTCGCGACCACATCACTCCCACCCTCGCTCGCCTCCACTGACTCCCCATCCCCCAGAGGATCGAATTCAAGATCCTCATCCTCACCTACAAGGCCATTCACAGCCTTGCTCCCTCCTACCTCTCCAACCTACTATCCCCCTACCTACCTGCCCGTACCCTCCGTTCCTCTGGCTCCGGTCTGCTCCACATCCCCCGCCCCAACTCCCTACCATCGGTGGCCGGGCCTTCAGCCTCTCAGCCCCTAGGCTCTGGAACTCTATCCCCCAGTGCCTTCGCCTTGCCTCCTCCCTTTCCTCCTTCAAGGCCGGTCTCAAGACCTTTCTCTTTGACCGTGCCTTCAGCTCCCCTCTCGACTCTCTACCCCCTCCTCGCTCCCTCCCTTCCCTCCCCTCACCCTGACCATTTCCCCCCTCCTTGCTCCCTCCCTTCCCTCCCCTCACCCTGACCATTTCCCCCCCTGCTCGGGTCCTGACCCAACTGTACAGCGCCTTGGGACGTCCTCCCGACGTGAAAGGCGCTCAATAAATGGAATCTTGTTGTTATTGTTGTTGACCCGATGGCCTGCATCCTAGGGTTTTAAAAGATGTTGGGGCTGAGATACTGGATGATTGTTTTTGATCTTCTAAAATTCTCTGGATTTTGGAACGGTTCCCATTGATTGGAAGATCGCAAACGCAACACCACTATTTAAGAAGGGTGGGAGAGAGAAGATGGGGAACTATAGACCAGTCAGTCTGACATTGGTGGTCGGGAAAATTCTAGAATCCTTAATTAGGGATGTTGTAGAGGGGTACTTAGTGGACCATAACATGGTTAGGCAGAGTCAACATGTCTTTATAAAAGGAAAGTCGTGCTTAACAAATCTTTTAGAGAATTTTGAGGATGTAACTAGCAGGTTAGATAGGGGTGAACCAGTAGATGTAGTGTATTTAGATTTTCAGAAGGCATTCGAAAAGGTGCCACATAAAAGGCTGCTACACAAGATAATAGGCAGGATTCAACGATTTACAATCTATATCAATGATCTAGATGAGGACATAGAACTTAAAATATCTAAATTCGCGGATGGTACTAAGCTAGTTGGGAGAGTAAGCTCTGAGGATGACACAAAAAGATTGCAAAGGGATATAGATAGGCTAGGTAAGTGGACAAGAAGGTGGCAGATGGAATATAATGTGGGCAAGTGTGAAGTTATTCATCTAGGTAGTAAAAACAGAAAAGCAGATTATTTTCTAGAAGGGGAGAGATTAGGTAGTGTTAGTGTTCAGAAGGATTT